CTTGACGGGAAACACGCCGCTCACGCTACGCTGCGTTCGCCAACCGGGATGTCTTGAATGACTGTTATCGCTCAATTGGTCAACCCCTGGAATATCGGAATCTGGTTTAGAAATAATGCTCGCCTCTCTTCTCCGCCCGAAGAAAAGAAGAGTTTACGCGGAACGTTCCCCGTTTTCATCCCCTTACACGACTCGAGAAGGTCTTTGGCCTTTTCGCCAGGAAGAGGCTCAACATGCAAGTCCTGAGATGAGATACAACGAGACTCATGGCGCATTGCTTGACGAGGACTATCAACATGCAGATGATCTCGGTGAGTATGCAGATCAGGAGGAAGAAGATCGTCCTATCGAGTCGACTCCTCTTCTTCCCATATTCTCTGCTTCGCATCTAGGTATGGCCATCTCTTCCTGCGATTTTTAAGGTCTCATTTAATACAAGGACTTAACGTGGTCGCTTGTGAATAGATGCTCTTCCGGTCTACGATATCACTCATGCGATTCGGCTGTTGATCGAGTCGCGATGCGAAACCACGCTGACATGGGACCAATTGCGCTCTCCCCAAATCTCACAGTTTCTAGTGAAGCCGATCCAGCAGAAAATTATAGCATTACACTTCTCGCGTGGAACATTATACGCTCTGATGGCAAACTGCTTGCAGTTCAATAAGGAGATACACTTGAACCCTGGAAATAGTGGTGCGTCTCAGACAAGAGCCATGGTGAGCGAGCTTCTTGCGATCAAGCTTCTGCGGGAATACTCGACTAGGGAGTTGATTGATGCTCTTTCTTACGAGTTTTATCCCCTGCAAGGCCAGACGTCAGCAGTGGCTCAAGCCTTCCAAGAAACATCGGGCAAGTATCCTGGCACCGGCAACAAACCACTGGCAGGTGTTGCCCGTATTTCCTGCCTCGAGGTTGCCATTCGCGCTCAGGCGAAACGGTTCTTAGCTCATCCTGTAGTGGTACAGCAGCTAGAAGCAATTTGGGCTGGTACAATAGTCTTTCATTCAGCTGCCGACAATCTTCATCGTACCCCAACGGCAGCACAACGGGGTGGAGGCCCCGCATACGGCACTGCTCATGCAGCATCCCACAGTTCAGCGCAGCTAGTCTCCAGGCCACGACGGTCAGCGACGCTTTACGATCCAAGGGATGCCTCTCTCTTCAAGCTCTCCCGGCTTCGGGTGCCTCGATACCGACAATTTCTATCCACTGTATCATTTGCTGTCCTCCTAGGCTTGTTTCTCGCAGTTCTGGTGCAACGGCGGGTGGATATCTCGTCCCTGGAGCTTATCTTCTGGTTTTGGAGCGCAGGGTTCATGCTTGACGAAATCGTTGGTTTCAATGAACAGGGCTTTAGTCTATATCTCATGAGCTTCTGGAACCTGTTTGACCTCGGGATTCTATTCCTGCTCTTCTGCTATTATTGCATGCGGCTATATGGTGCTCTGATGCCCAGCCCATACAATCACGCAATTGCCGACAGAGCATATGACATCCTCGCCGCCAATGCGGTTCTGCTCTTTCCCCGACTCTTTTCGGTCCTGGATCACTACCGATATTTTTCACAATTGCTTATTGCGTTCCGCATAATGGCTTCGGATTTGGTCGCAGTGTTTCTTCTGGTCGCCATTACGTGTAGTGGGTTCTTTGTCGCCTTCACTCTATCGTTTGGCAACATTGAAGAGCATACCCCTGCGTCTGTCGCTTATGCCCTCTTCCAGATGTTGATGGGATTCACTCCGGCTGCGTGGACGCTCTGGGACGATTACAACATCCTGGGCAAGATCATTTTGACACTCTTCCTATTCATCTGCCACTTTGTCGTGGTGACGATCCTTATTACTGTTCTGACCAATTCTTTCATGGCAATTGTGCAGAATGCCAATCAAGAGCATCAATTCTTGTTTGCGGTCAATACTATTTCGATGGTCAAGTCGGACGCGCTTTTCTCCTACGTGGCACCGACTAATATCATTGCGTGGCTGGTTACGCCGCTCCGTTATTTCATGCCTTTGAGACAGTTCATCCGACTCAATCGCACTATGATCAAATTCACACATTTTCCGGTCCTCTTCACCATTTGCCTTTACGAGAAGGCAATCCTCAGTCCCAGAGTCAACGAGCCGATTGATCTCATTGATCCTTCGATTCATCCCGACGCCTTGTCTCGCAGTCGCCCCCGTCACGGTCGCTTCAAAGCATTCAATCCTCAAGCTCCTCGGCTTGTACGAGAGCCATCAGTGGCAACGTATCAGAAAGACCGCGCTCTTGAAGAAGTTTTCAGGAATCCTTTGGAGGAGACAAATCGGCGTCCGCCGAGGCTGATGCAACAGAGAAAGAGCAATAATATTGTTAGCAATTGGATGCAGGCTATGGGGTCTGGCCCTGTACACCCTCCCGATGAGCAGGACTCGGATGAAGTTGATCGATTGGAGAGACCCCCCCGGAGGTCTCGATTTCCCTTTCGAGGAAGGACCACTGGAAGTCTCCGCGATTTTACCGATTCCAACCGTTCTGCCACATCAGATCCTGAAGGGCATGTCGGTCATATTGTCTCCTCACCTGCCACGCCGCGTCGTGAGAGAGCCAACGTGTCTCCGGCCAGGATACGGCAGCTTTCTCGGCACACGGACATTGAAGGCGACGATGAGTTAACCAGCGATGATACAGAAGTACGCCGTTCGAATTCTTCAAGTTCTGAGAGAAACAGCGGTGTGAGTCCAGGTAAAGCAACACCGAAGTTCTACAGCTCCCGGCCCTCCACAGCGAGAGTCAAATCACGCAAAAACAGTCCTTTTCGGCGTCCCAAGTTTCACACCCGGAATTACTCCGCCGCGACAATGCTTTACAACCCTGTCCCCTCGGTCAGCAACGACGATGGGGCCGACGTGTCTCCTGTTCCCATCAGACCGAGAGCGGAGACGCCTTCAGCAGGGGATGATGCGGCCACTGCAACTTCCGTAGACCAATGGATGCAAAGAAGACATAGTTTGGATGTTGGAGTTTCTCAAAACGTGGCTTTGCCCAGGTCAAATCCCATGTCTGTACCTGACTTGGGCAGCTTCTTACCAACCGAGTCGCAACACCGGGGTCGCCGTCAGGCATCCCATCTGTATGGGCTGGGCTCTGACCTGGGCGACAATAGGGCAATTGCAAATGGATTCTTGGCTGCTTTGCCTGCAAGCTTCACGACGCAAATGGAATATGCTGCGGGTGGCATCCCCAGACCTGACAGCTCTGGTAGCAATCAAGACATGCTCAGCAAGCTTGTCTTGGCTCGCATGAACAATATCGAAGAGGGATTCCGTGAGATGTTGAAAGAAGTCAAAGATCTCCGGCGGGGCGAGTCCAGTCGAAGCCAGAGTCGACCCGACGAAATGAGAAGCGCCCAAAAAGGCAAGAAGAAACGTATGGAGAGCAGGGATTCGAAGAAGAAAGCTCAAGGGTCCCGCAAAAGCAAGAATAGCAGCGAGGGGGTGCAGTCCGATGGACGATCGACGGACTCATGACCACGGGACTATATGATATGATGATACTACGCGCTCCTGATTTCCTTTCTACCACAGGCTCGTAAGCGAGCAGTAATGACGTTGATCTCCTTTTTGGCTTGTTGTCTCTTATCACCGTATGGCTGTCTCATATCATTTACATCAGTCTGCAATTGATACCCTCTATAGTGAGCCAGAAATCATGAAATGATCTGTTGTTTTTACTTCACCAGGCTTTCATTAGGCCTGATCCACCCAAACTATCAGTACCATGTTCCTGGACGTCGCTCGTGAGCCTCTCAAAAGGAAGCATGCAGGATCAACCCTATTTCTTCCTTATATCCTCAGGGACGAACCCCCTCCTGTTCCCCTCAGGGAACTTGTCACCGTGACCACCTTGCATAGCCGCCCGCTCCTCGTCGGAAACCAGAGATCTCCCATGCTTCGGCGCAAGGGCACGGAATAACAGCCACGCCCCAGTTATGACGCCGAACATGCTCGCCAAAGCGAAATTTCGGGACCTGCCAAAGGGAGAAGGGAATGAAAGTCAGATAGCCGTCAGGTATACAATAAGGGTCTTGCATGAGATGACGTACTGGACAGCTCCTTTGTGGCCATGCGTGATGGGCCCATCTTTTGCCATTTCTTGTTGGTATGGTGAATCGAGGTGGACGGTTCGTTTGGTCGTACTGGTGTTAGTTTCTCGATTGAAAATACAGTCTGAGAGCGGTAGTCCTTGATCAGGAACAATATGCCCAGGAACATCTGTTGTAGTCCTCTGTGGCTAATGACCTGCCCATGATACTATATCTTTGCGACGATTTGACGTCACGTTCAAGCTTGAACCAGGGACCAGGGACACTCGGATATGTACCATGGATCGATCATTGATCTATCTGTATATGTTGTATTTCTAGCTTACTACTGCCCGTATATCCCCTTATAGGGTGATTTTCTGTAGGAAGGTAGAGAAAGTGTAGGTAGGCCAGATCTCAATGGTTAACAATATTCCTCTTTAACATGAAAAAACGGCGTAGTAAGCTTAACCTTTACTTTATTCATCAACAACACCATTTAGTAATATGGCTAAATAGCACAGTACAGATTCAAGGTTCATTGTTGCGGCATTGTACTGTCAGCGAATCATATCTATCTTCTCATCATAGCCCAAGCGTGCGCGATAAAAAGCAGATGGAAGCCTACGGAGTACAGGGAAGCGCATGCGTTTTCCCATCGGGTGCAGCAGTGGTCATACGTAGTCAGCCTCCTTACAAATGACAAGAATGAGGCTGACTCGACATATGATCTTAATTTATGTTGGTTTCTTTTTCCGTTTGAAATCTTCTGGTGATGTCTTTCGGGGTTTCTGGACATCTAATCATGTTTTAAAGCATCGTTCCTCGTCCATGAGTCAGGTTTCATCATCTTCGTTCTGTTCTCCTCCCACCTATACAGCGACGATTAAAAACGGAGGTTGCTTAACGCTCGCACCGGCTCCGCTGTATGAATATGGACTCCTCTACTACTGAACGAGCTGAGGGGGGCTCCTACAATTTTACGGAGTGGCAATGGCCACGATTTCCTGTTGGATCCACCTACATCCCCATTCGACCAACACCCCCAAGGAGCAAGACCAGAAACGCTCCTGCGCCTTGCCCACCGCTGCTCCTTCTCGACCACGCAGACACTCTCGTGTTCATCGATTCACCACCACGACCATCGACCAGCTCTATTTTACCTGCCTCAAGGGAATATATACCCCACCGCGTACACAGCCAGAAGCTCTTGGAAACTGATTCCTCTTTCTTCAAGAAGCTCTTCAATCCGAGGACGCAGGCTCGGATTGTCAAGCGCCGTGGACTCACTGGCGGACTTACAAACGAGCTCAAGTATGTTATAGATCTGACTCCTCCGACAGAGGGGGAAGAGGCGGTCATCACCATCACGGAGCTTTCTTGCCCTCTTGGTATCAGAACCTGGACCCGATGTCAGAATCGATGGTGCCTCCCTGCCTCATGCGTTGGGGGGCAGGACGAGGTTGAGGCGTTGGATACAAATACACACAAAGGCTTCGGCAGACCGCCGTCCCATGAGTCGAGTAGTTCAGTTGCGCAGAATCCTGAGACAGATGAACGGGCTGGGAACCATCAGGAAGGTGAGGTGGGAAACAATGCTGCCAAATCGCCCGAAGCTTCGGATTCTAAGGCAGAACGCGAGAACCTTGAATTACCGCTAGACTACTCTGCTTCTCGTCACCATGCAGGCATTGAACAGATCTTGCAGGCTCTGGAAGATTTCCATCCTCAACTTGACACTCCTTGCAAGCTTTGGACCTTTTTCGCCCTGGCGAAGCTGTATGATATCGCCACGACACCGAAGATATGCGACCTCATTCTTTCCTGGTTTTACGAGTCCACCAACGTCCGATTCATTGAGATCCACCCAGAGATCAGCTATCGGATAGCTTGTGGAATCCAGTGCACCTCCCTTTGTCGGGACACCTTCTCTATCCTTGTAGGGGAGGAGGCCCTACTTCTGCTGGTTAACGGGGACGAACCAGCCCGCCTGGGGAGGCCTCAGGTGACATGGCACGGACGCCTCCGTGAGTCGCTAGATGACACAGAGCTCCAGCGTATTGAGTACGCAAGTAAGAGCTTCCTGGATCATGTTATAGATCGTTTCGTTCACTTGATGGGGGCTAGCATGGCATGGCTCCATGGTTTATCTGAGTTTCAGAAAGTTTACCATTTCCAACCAAGATCCTCACAAGAAGAGGAAGCCAAGTCTTGGCTTCTCACTGCTCTGAAAGACTTTGTGAGATGTACCTTATTGTCGCCACTAAGCGGCGGTTTTCCTGAAAGAGGGTACCAAGAAGTATCCCTCAGCTCGCAGGACCATGAGGGCTATCCACCACCAGATTTCGCGAACGCTTACAGAGACATGTCGCCAGCAGAGCGCATAATTAGCAGGACATTTTGGCACCGTCTATCCATTGAGAGTTTTAGCGGCCAGTGCCCTATTCTCCCCGCAAAACAGCCTTCCGTCATTCCCTCCCTTGCCAAGAGCATTCCACAGTTCAGAGAGCAAGAAGACTGGCACACCAGTAGTATATTACGAAAAGGGTTGATAAGCAGAGTCGTAGACTTCAATGCTTTCTACAGAAGGCTAGGGCGGAGAGTCTTCGATTTGAACACGGGACGGCCCCAAATGACGGCAAACACCCCCACATCGGGGTTCTCTATATCCAGCGCGGCCCAACTACAGAATCTCCCGGGGATTGATTTGGTTCTACCGCGTGAGATGATAGAATTTGACTTGGACATCTTCTTCGCTCAGGTTCAAGCTTACGTAAATGACTACGCCAAGCAGATGATCACCCCTCGGTCTTCAACCATGTTCTACGAATTGACTGATACTCTGACATGTCTCACGGAGAATGAGTTCAAGTATCTTCCCTTGTGGGCGGGTGGCAATGATGACGGATCCGGAGGCGTCTTTACTGATGATAACGTGCCATTACTTGAGACCGGGGGCTTCTCGACTCCGGGGCCAGCAATCCATACAGGTAGCACGGCCTCCTCGGTGATGTCGCATTCCACCATCGCAGCCTCAGACATTGAGACTACAGTCCAAGGTGCCTCCCACAGGGCCACGGAAAGTCATCAGAGTGATCTAATGTCGATTGATACGGATATTGAACGGGACAGTGGAAGGAACAGCGACCGTGTATCGTATTCGTGGCAGAGTGCTGACGACGATACCTCGATCGACCTGAGCTCTGCCGATGACGAGTTTGACTTTGATTCCGCTAGTGACTCTACCGACACCGTTGTTATGGGCTCTCCGAGTCATAGTGACCTTCTGAGTGACTTTGAGGAGGTGCATATGGACGACAATGATTCTGGTTCACGTCACTGAATGCTGATAATCTGCTTTGGCGACTTTGAATCTAAGATTTGGTTGGGATGGGCGATTTGGGGTCAATGGAATATTGCACCAATAACGCATTATGATTGATGAATAATGATATTGAGCCCTTTTCGATGGTTACATGTATGCAGCATGTCCTCCAAACACATTAGAAATCTTGAGCAAGTACACCATGGTGATTATGTTTCAAGTGTCTCTAATTTAATTGACGAACCCGGTTGATCCTCGATGAAATTCTGTCTCAGATCAAGAAAGAGGTCTTTCCTCGAACTTAGACGGATTTCATTTGCTGTCAATAGGAACAAAGGTATTGTCGTCGGTTGCATAAGTGGCAATGCTCTTTGAAACATCGTCTTTGTCGAGACGGTCTTTCTACTTGTATCTCTTTCCTGGCACTAGCATGCTATGTAGTACCCGGTGTGTCTCAGCTAGTAAATGTCCAAGAAGGAATGAGGTACACGGTGTGCAAAGGATGAGACTCAATGTTCAATGTAAGACACTAAGGAGATGCCTGTTCGACTTCTTCAAGTCTTGATATCAAGAGATTTATTGTCAAGCCAATGAGACCATGCCATTGTTCTTTGTTTCCGACGATTGTCTTCGAAATGCGGCTTATTGCTCTGTATCCACTTGCTTCTTCATTGGAGTTGCAGCGCTCGAAGAAAGGTAAGTGATGCACAGGATCGAGACACAGTTCGAGTTGATATCACTGTGCGTTCGGAAGTCACCCCGTATCACTTGTGAATTCCTTTCTTCAGAAATCTCGCATTGCAAGACAAGAGTCTTTATCTGGTATGAAAGCGCCAACTTCACCAGATGCGGTATAAAAGCTGGCTCACCTCCTCTGTTATGCATTGCATCCAACTCACTTGCTGCTCTCAGCTCGCATCTATACACTTCGCCTCATTCTCTGCCAATCGTTTCTGCAACTGCTCGAACAATTCCCGAACAACTGGACCATGCCCGCACAACACCATGCGACTCGCGCTCCTACGAGGAACCCACCCAGCGACGACCTCAGGAGGCAGGTTCTTACCCGCAACTCTGGCGCGCCTTCCAGGACGGCTTCCAACTTACCGCACAGAGACCCAAAAGTCCCAGCAAGCGAGGTCCATCCCGCACTGAGAACTGTAAGTAATTCCATCATCAGCTCAGCCATTCCTTTGCTAACATGTTTTAGTATCGTCAATCCCCCACCGTCAAGCCCGTCATTGATGTCCTAGATGGTGAGAACAAACTTTGGGACCTTACTGAGATCTGGTACCAGATCCTCAAACTCCATTGTGCCCCGGAAGACGGCTTCATCATCAAAGCTGTTCCCGAGACAGCCAGTCCTGAGACACCAGAGACTTACGGACTGCATGCGATGACCGTCACCGGACCCGGTGCAGAAGGATACAGCACCTTCTTCGCCATCGTCTGCGCGACCGCAGTGTATCGGGACAAGACATCGGTCCGCTTGCGAGCTGCTAATGAACTCAGAAGGCTGCTCGCTGAGATATATCACACGAGGGTCACGAACGGACAGTATACTCAGCTCCGTGGGGCTGTGGCTGTTGGTCAATCCGTTCAGTTCTTCAATTGGGGCGAGGATGGGGTTCTAAGGGTGTTTCCCTGGGCGACACACCCGTTTGATATCAAAGGCGACCATTATGCTGTCCAAGGTTGTCTTGACCTCGTCGTCCAGAATCATTGATTTCATTTGTCTGACTTTTTCCTTTTAGCAGTGACGCACGTTCTTACGACGAGGTTGCAACAGCCAGCTCAGTCCCATATCAACATGGGAGGAGACTGAGGGTCGCTTTAAGCTCGATCATCGCTGCTCAGGTACGTCTTGACTCTCCTTGGTTTCGTGGTTGATTCTTTCTTTATTATGTCACAGGTGTTTTGGTGTATTATTTGCTTCAAGTTAGTAGAATGTGCATTGAATCTTCCTGATCAATCCCTACCACGTCCTGCGTAAATGGATCAGCTCCCTCTTTCTTTCATAGGTCGATGGCTGCCTTGGGTATGTACATCACGTGATAGAATCTGGGGTTCTTGGCGGCGACGTCACGGAATTCCACCGCGAAACTCTCCTGATCTTCACAGTTGGAATAAGAACTCGGATCTATATCTGTTGGGCATTGAATCCTATAGTTTATTCATCCCTGGAGCGACCCACTTGACTCATCGTTCGTCCAGCAAAGATCTCTCACCGTTATGGCCTCATCATCACAACCTTCGAGCTTCTTGCTCTAGTATGTTCTAGCCATATTTCGGGCGTCCTCTAGACTAACAGATCTTTGACAGCTCTTGTATAGCACACCGCACAACTATCCTCGCGGAGCATTCGTCACCCGGGACATCCTCTACTGCGGCCTCTTCGCTAGCATCCATTATCCTCCCTAAGATCACGCATGACAAGCCCCAGAAGCTCACTTACACACATGAGCGTCTCTTCGTCCATTACATCGCAGATTCACCCTCGGGCTCTTCAGACGATGCCGGTCGCCAAGAACCAAACTCCTATGCACCTCTCAGCTACATCGTCGTGGCAACCGCCGAACAAGGCCGTCGCATTCCATTTGCCTTTCTCCTCGAGATGAAACGCAAGTTCCTATCGACCTACCCCCCTTCGAGCACTGATTTCTCTTCTCTCCCTGCATACGGCTGTGCCGCTTTCAACTCGGAGCTTCGTTCTCTCCTCCAGACATACAATACCGCCCCGCCGTCGGACTCGCTTGCTTCAGCCCGACGGGAGATCGACAGCGTCCGTGACATTATGACAGAGAATATTGAGCGGGTACTGGAGCGTGGTGAACGGATTGATTTGTTGATCGATAAGACTGATCGGCTCGGGGGCAGCGCGCACGACTTCCGAGTGCGTAGTCGCGGTCTGCGGCGGCGGATGTGGTGGAAAAATATCAAGCTGATGGTGCTTCTGGCTGTTGTGGTGGTCTTCCTCATCTATCTTTTCGTTGGTATGGGATGCGGCTTGCCGGCTTGGGGGAAGTGTGTTGGCCACAGTGCGTAGGGCTCTTGTCGTTGTCCAAATCATCACTCCTCTGTCGCTGAACGAATGGGAGTAATGTCCTCTTTCTGTGCACATAGCCTTTCCGACTGTAGAACGTACGTCAATCGCTCTGTGGATTGCCAGCTTACGATAGCATTTACGATTGTGACCTTTTTCGTCCGCCTTGTCTGATGATATCGCTTGCCTTGTAGGTACTCCATGTGATTCGACAGCTTTATATTGCTCTTTTAGCCTACACGTGTCAGGTAGCGGCTTGAATACGATGAATGTACGCTATAGCTTGCTTCAGAAATATACTCTTCTGTCTGACATATCTGTATGATCTTTGATTTCACTGGTCACCCAGGTCGTGATCCTGATGGAAGAGAAATATATATTGCTGGTTCTGGATACTACTCAACGCAACATAGCTCTCCAACATAATTGAAAATTCGATTTACTATGATAGCATGGTACCAGTTATTAAATCATATTTCGGAAAAAATTTCTCATATTGCTTTATCTAGCTAACGAGCGTATGGTGATTTGTATATCTCCTGCACGCGCACGTGCTTTGATCACAACGAAGGGTATCAGGACCCTATAAATACAGCGGCAATCTAATCAGATCGGAGGAATGTGACTTTCAATAACAGAATTGGTTCATTCTCTAAGAAACAACATCTAGCTTCTACGTAGGTATGTCCCTCACTATCAAACTCGCAGCTTCCTAGCTAAAGCTCAGTGCGAGTCTGCAAGCGAGCGGAAATAACCCCTGGTTGATACCAGTTTGGTTGTTTTCCGCGGTTCATTCTGCGCCAGCCGTATACCTCTCCAACCATGGGAAACCGCCCTGAGGGACGGGGTTGATGAGGAGATAATCTGGCGCTATTCCAGGGAATAGGGGGAAGGGGGATTTGGGTAGCTACGAGGCGTTCTGGTAGCTGAACGCATTTGTGGTCCAAGCTTAGTGCCACGGATTGCTGCGATGGGCATTCTGACTGTTTCCGTGCGCTGCGTCGCCTCAAGGGCTGGGATTTGCGTTTGGTCGTTGGCGGTGTGGGCGATCTGTTCGGAGGGCGAAATATCGAGACCTAGATGTAAAACAATTCCGCCAGATCGGCTCAATTGAGTGACAGAATTCGATCAAACGAAGCGAAGTGGGATTTCGGTAGTATTCTCGATAGGAGTTACCTAAATGCAGCTGCAGGTCGGGTGAGAGGAAAGATCAGGAACGCCAACTGATGTCGCTCAGAGCCAAACCCGAACGTTGAGATGAAGAGGAAATTTTGCACTTTTTTTCTTTCCATTCATAGCGTGCACCTGTCTTGGAAGACGGAAGCCTGGTCATAGCAGGTTTATTTTCTCATTTTGAGTATCTCATGTACTCCCACGCCATCGCCCCTATTGCAACAAGAAACACAGAAAACAAGTCCCTTAAGCACGAGCCTTAGCAGCCTCACGGCCCTTTCCGATGCGCTCCAGAATCTGTTCGCGGTCCTTGTCCAGCTTGAGCTTGGTGATGACGACCTTCGAGGGGTGGATGGGGATAGGGACGCTCTGGCCGTTGGACTTCTCACGGACGACACGCTCGACGTGAACGCACCACTTGAGACGGTAGACGGTGGTGATCTTTCCCTCACGTCCCTTGTTGGAGCCGCGCACAACGGTGACCTCGTCGTCCTTGCGGATGGGGATGGCGCGAACCTATGGGGTATTTGTCAGAAACGAACTTCAAAGTTCTTTGCGGTGATCCGTGGCTATCCTCCTGCGAGAGTTCCTCCGAACAAGAGTGTAGAATCTGACAACGGGAGATGATCGGTTTAGGAGAGGTGGCATGACGGGAGGCGTACGTTGTACTTCTCACGGAGTTCCTTGCTCAGAGGAGCGCTCATGATGACACGGCGCTCGCTGGAGGGAGCGCTGAAGTGCGCCTTGCGCGACTTCCGGCGGGAAGAGGCGATTCCTATCATTGAAAAAACCGAGAGTCAGT